ACAGTTTACTGTTTTCTGTGTAGTAACCGCAGAATGCCAATCTAGACACCACGAGCAGCCTTTAAATAACACCTTGCCTTCCAACTCCTGGATGGCAATTTGTGAATACATATTGCTCCAGTAAGTACTGGTTCTGGGTCATAAAAGAAAGAAAAATAACACAACAGCAATCAGCCAGACGATCCTTCCTAAACCTGCCTACAGTCCTGATTGTTCCAAATCATTACTTACTCAATCTGTCTGTTAGTAAAATGTCTGGCTAAAGACACACACCAGGCATACAGGAAATACTGCTGTTGCAGATAATGAAGCATCATCATAACAAGACTAGCCAAAATCATTGAGTGCTTAACCTGTGCCAGGTGGCACAGTAAGCTCTTCAGAAGCCTTATCTCACTGAATCTTCAGCAAGACATAAGAGGTATGTGTACCTCTATCTGGAGGAAATTGAGGCAGATGTGGCTAAGAAAGTTGCCCAAATTAACTCAGTAGGAAGTGGTAGAGCCTAAACCATATACCAGAAGTGCCTCCTTGTATAGCATGCTCTTCTGGAGATTAAGGATCTTTATACATCAAAGAGCCCTACTTCAAACTAAATGATTTGCTTGAGATCTCACAACTATTCACTTGTTGAGCTAGGACTGAATACAGTTGCTTTAATTCTAATTGACTCCTAATCCAGTGCTGTTCCAACTAAACTTCACTGTGGTTCATCAACAAGATGAGAAGAGTAAAGTTCAGGAGGAAGAGTTCTATTTTTGCCTTATGGATAAATGTTTTTTTTTTAAATTTCACTATTGAGCCATTGCTTTTTTTAGATGATACGAGAAATTTTGCCCTAACACCAGGAAAAACAGAAGATAGGAATTGTAAGGCTTCCATCTATAACCCGCCCTGGCTTTCTCTTGCAGCCATTTCAGGTTATAAATACGCACCATTTCTATGTAATGTTTCCATTGGATGTGGGTTTCCAATGGCTTTTCAGGTGTGGTGAACACTGTCCACAACTGGAATTTCTCCAAGTATAATGAGAATTTGGCCTACAAATTATTTTAGTGCAGTTCATATTTTCAGGGGAGTGGGAAAAATAGAAGTGCTTTTAAGAAAGATAATAGCAAACCAACACCAAATGTGAGTACCTCTGATATGTACATTAGTGAGATTTTACTAGTCAAAAAAAAAAAAGTACACACAGATCATTACATCTAGGAACAGAAAACCATCATGGGGCTGGCTTGAGTTTCTGTTTTTGATTGTGGGTGCCTGTGGGCTGCTGTAATCTAAACACCTTTATTATTATTTTTAAATATTCCTGGAACTCAGAAAGTACACTGATCCTGCAGACATTCCCTTTGTTTGTCTGTTGAGAGGGAGTTCAAAGTTCCTGCTGTGCCTTCTTTTCTCTCACAGTCCACTACAATACAACTTCACTTCTGACACCAGACCTGTAGGTTCTCCACACATCAAGCAATTCTGCAACATCATCTGGTGTCCTACAATTCAACTCACTTCTCATGCTATCTACCTAGAGATAGGGTCAGACCCCACGAGTTAAGGGCTCAGTCTAACAAGAGGACATCCCCACCCTCACTTCAGAGGCTAATTAAAAGGCGAGGTTGTTACCTATTCTTCTGAATTCACCAGCTCTAGATCAAATGATCCCATGATTCCCCAATTAATGTGCTAGAACAGTGCATAGAACTCATAAAAACATTTTTCTTAGTAGATTACCCATGAATTACAAAAAGAGTTATATGGGGCAAGGCACATGTGGCAAGGGGCGTGGAGCTTCCTTGCCCTCTCCCCAAATGGCTACATGTGCAGCAATGTAGAAGCTCTCCCACAACCATCCTTTTGGGTTTTATGGAAACTTTATTACGTAGACATGATTGATTAAATGTTTGGTTATTGGCAAATGAACTCCATCTCTAGTTCCTCTCCCCTCCCCAGAGGTCAGGAGTGGGGGCGAAAGTCCCAATCCTCTAATCATATTGTTGTTTTTCCTGGCAACAGCTCCCATTTTCAGTGGGCTTTCCAACAGTCACCTCATTAATGTAACCTCAGGTGTGCTTGAAAAGAGATAGTAAGGAATAACAAAGCATCTTTATTGCTTATCACTTTTGGAAATTCCAAGGGTGTTAGAAGTTATGTGCTTCTTTTAAAACAGAAATGGAGACCAAGTGTGTATTTCTTATTATAAATCCCAGTATCACAGTTTTCATGCCATCTCCCACTGCCAAGGCTTTACCATGCTCCACGCTCCCTGGCATTGAACTACCGGAATGTGATCTCTTTCATTCTCTGACTTGCTCTCTACCCTTTTTTTTTTCCTTCACTTTATGCTTTGCTTATTTCACCACTTCCCTCTCTGAGTTCAAACCACTTGCAAAAAAGAATCCCCCCCCCCAGTACAAGCACAGAGTTGCCAAAATGTATCAGGGAATTAATATAGTTTTCCTGAGCTCTTATTCCTAATTTTTACAATGGACCCTATGGAAATGCACTTGATGCACTTCATTTTCTTCATCTATAAAGTGGGGTCGCAGTGCTGGCCTTTGTCTTCAAAGATCACTGTGATATGTTCCACTCTGGAGAGCAGAGCCGACGTTAGCAAAGAGCTGCACCACTTAAATTTGGTGCCTGAACAGAGGCGCTGGGCGGTGAGCTGAAGTAACCACACAAGATAATGAGGCCAGGCTGGGCTGGGATGACCGGTGCCCTAATGAGATTTCCTACAATGAACACACATCCAGCGTTTTGTTTTATTTCATTTTAATTGAAAGCTTAGGAAATGCTTCATGCTTCATGAACGTTTTGTTATTTTCAGATCAATCTACTATACTGGAAAACTTAATAAACAAATAAATAATGGTCCTGCTGAGTTGTTCAGCATTTCTTATTCACATCTCATGCGCTTCATGTTCTGCCTGCAGAATTGTGTCTCTTGATTTTGTTTTTGTTTTTTCCCCCTTTAGACATTAATTTTTAGAAAGAAATGCTCTATTGCAGGAAAGGGTGATAGAGACCATAGCAGCCCTCTTCTGAACTACTTCCCATTTGGCTGTTTTTTGAATTTTATGTCATGTCTCATGATTAACACTGTTTTTTTTTTCTCAAAATGAGTAACCAGGTCAGGAGTGTTTTATTCATATTTTTTTAGAAAGCAATGACAGCATTATTGGAAATATTCAACTGGCCTAATGTACATGGTATATGCATGTGAGCGATAGAAGGCAAACCTCTAGGTCCCTCAGGATGGTGTCCTGGTGCTCTGCTGGCCTTGCTGCCTCTACATCACCACCTCAAAAGGTCTGGAACTTAACAAAAGCAAATTGATTAAGTATACAGTATGGGTTGCCTATGACATGATTGATTGTACGGTGGGAGATCCCAAATAAATTCTACTCTCATCCCAATCACAGAAAATTAGTGATAAATCTCAGCTATTTTCTCAGTCCCAACACCCCTGAATGGAAGTTCCTGGACATAATCATTTCTCAAGTATAGAAACAATAATTTACTTAGTATTTATTAAAAGTAAAGAACCTAGAATAATGTCTGATATGTAGTAAATGTTCAAAAAATATGATGATCTTGAAGATTTGTATCCCATGTGTCTAACCCAAAGGTGGCACATAGTAACTGCTTGTTCATACTTGTCACATTGTTAAAAGTGAATAAATGTATAGCTGTATTTGTGGTAAGTCCCATAAAGGTGGCAGACAATTTTCTGTATTGCCCCCAGACATTTCAGCAGACCTTCTTGAGCCCCATGTTTCAGAGCTTCACTAATATAATGCTGGCCCATAAGAATCACATTCAAAACACTGAAAAGTGCTAGGAACCCAGAACAAGGAAATCCCTGCCTCTGTGACCTACTTCAAATATAAGAGCCAGAGTCTTACATATGATTAACTGGGACCAGGGACATAATCCTTAGAGCTTTGGCTTTTTTTAATTTTGATTCGTCTTTTTGTTGTTGTTGTTGTTGTTCAAGTTCAGTTGTCTCCATTTTCCCACCCCCACTTTCCCCTGCCCCACCTGCCTCTACCTCCCATCTCTGTCCTAAGTCTGTGCTTACATGGCTCGAGTTTTATTTTCATCATGACGTGAGCAAGAAAAACTTCAAGGGCAGAAAAGGGAGAAATAGAAAAAACAAAGACCAGTAGGAATGCTCATCATTTCCTGTGTTAAGCAGGGACTGAAATAATTTCTGTGCACCTAGTGTTAGTCTAATGGTCGCTTGCCTAAGCCATAAAATCATTGAGAACTGAGATGACAGATGATTTACTGTAGTAGAAACCAGTAGTAGCATGCTGTCTCAATTGAGAGGTGGGAAAACTCAGGTGAGGGGATCCCCAATATAAAGGAAAAGGTGAATTCACTTTTAAAGAGAAAAATTAGATAAGGCTGGAATTCAAAATGCTACTAAGCACAGGGCCTTGATCTTCCTTGGTAGTTATCATGAGTGACAGGAACTTTAATTTCCTGTGTTGTTATGGATAATAAACAACTATGATGGCTCAAATGGGGAGGTTTAATAAACCAATACACATCTGTGACCATGTGCATCATTTGCACCTCTAGCACTACTACTTGCCTTACTAACTGGACATCTCTTTAGGGTAACATGTCAAATACTAAAGAAATGAGGTTATTCTATCACTAATTTCTAGGATGATTAAGGATTTTATGAAGAAGGATCAAAGTTAAGGAAGTATGTGTTTCACTAAGACATAGGCACATAGGTAGACAATCTCATGCTTCATGATTTACACTTGTTACCTGTCTCTATGAATAAATATTATGAATACCTATCTATCAATATACAGTATGCATAGATATTACACAAAACTAGGTGATATATTACACTTGACTCTGCAATGTCAGGCTGTCTTTCCCTGTCCTTATATTTAAGAATAGTAAATAGAGAAGAGATGAACAAGAGGAAGACATAGGGTGGTGCTTTTATTTTCACTTGTTCTTGATAAGTGACTTTGGCTTTTCCTCTAAAATACTATTTCATCAGCCCATCTGAGATATATTTGGAAACTGGGCACCAGATTATTTTTGCCTAGTATCTAAGAGAACAGCAGTTTATATACAAAAAGAAAAAAGATATTATTGCTAAAGCCCTGGGTAAATGTATCCACCTCTATGAAGAACACAACTCAAGTGAGTGTAAGCAAGGAGAATGAGTCAGAGAGGAGGAGCACAAGCTGGAGGAATGGGCAAGTTGGGGAGTCTATAAACATACTCAACCGTCAGTGAATGCTTGAGTTGAACCAACATGCGTGTTGATGTTCCAGGTGTGCATGAGGACAGATGGAAGGTTAAAGGTTGCCTAGGCATTGAGCTGGTACACTTGTTAGATACATGGCTATGTGGAGGTGCTGTATCAGTATGCAATATCACAGTAAGTGACCAGAGAGGAAATGAATGACAGAGGTGAATGAGGTTCTGCCATTACAGGTATTTCTCCCCTAATTAAGTAAAAAAGTGCCCCCCCTGCTGTGTTAGTAGTCACAGTATGGATCTCACCAGAGAAGATGCTTTGTGGTTTCTCACAACAGCCAAGAGAGGATGGTAGTCAGGGAGAAGCATACAGTGAATCTCTTCATTAATGAAAATCTGTTTTTAAGGCAATTTGCTTCGGTTCACAGCTTATTTTCAAGATCAGGATTAATATTAATTGTAAATTTATGGAAAGTGGGTCTACTTAGGAGACAGCAGGTTCTCTGTGCATAACCATATATGTCCTCTGGGGATACATGCTTTGGAAGGATGAGGCTTGCATGACAGGTTACATAACTGGCATGATTATGGGCTTTGCATGCATTCTTGAAGTCCGGAACAGCTGCACGCTTGTAAAGGTTTGCATCTTGAAGTTGAGATGGAGTCCCCTGGGCATTGTGAAGATTTGCATAGGGAGTTCAAAGTGGCTCACATCTTCATGTACTCTGTAATCATAACAGCTATATTAATAGTAAATGCATTTTAGGTAGTTGATATGTGCAAGGCACAGTTTCACTCATTTAATCCTCACAATAACCCTATGAGTTAGATTTTATTATTATTATCTGTGTTTTAGAGAAAAGAAATATGATCTACTAAAGGATTAAGAAACTTTCTCAAGGTTTTACGGCGAGTAAGTGGTAGAGGCACATCATGGTAGAGGCACTCAGACAGAATGGTTCCAGAGTCTGTATGATAAACCATGGGGTCAGCCTGCCTATCCACACACACTAGAGCTGGAATTGTATAAAGGGTAGATGAATGGTAAACTGTGCATCTGTAAATTAAACCCATGCAAAGAAACTTACCAATATGGTGTGCTATGAGAACTACATGATAGACCATATTTCACCAATTCTAAGGCACAGATTTGATTCACAAATTAATATTTCTGAAATCAAATTACATCTTAGAGTCGTTGAGAAGCAAGCATTACATTATAACTTAATTGGTCATCTATGTTTCTTTCATGATGACTCATAAAATATTCATTGATGTGTCTACAGTCAATGTCATCTTATTGTCAGTAAAATATAGAAAGTACTTTTAAAATCCAAGTGCAATAAAGTAAGGGGTGGCATATAAATGCAGATCAAAGAAAATTGCTAGATATGTGTATATGTTTCTCTATTGTCTGAAGTTTAATATAGCTTCCCTGACTCAAAAAACACAGGATGCACATTTCCTCCAGGACAAGATCTAGAAGATAGGGTAGCAAACATGGAACAATATCATTAAGAAAATCAGAGTGCAAAATGAGGAACAAGCAATAAGTAACCTATAGTGTATGAAGAGCAGATAAGTACATGCTGGTATATGCCCCCAAAAGGGGTGATTATTTCATAAAGCAGAATTGTGAAAAAACTTAGGAGTCGGAGTCATGCTCACCTGGTTAGATCCCAGTCTTTATGAAGTACAAGTACACAAGTTGTGTTGTCAGTCAGCCTTGACCTAGAGGAAATGTAGATCTTGAGTTTCTTGAGGCTGGGCAGGTGCATCAAACCACAGCCAGAAAACAGACATATACACTCATACCAATATTCTTTTCATACCTATGAAATATTTCTTAACTCCATAGAGGTCCTCAGTTTCCTTATCTGAGAAATAAGGAAAATAAGGCTACCTTTGAAATGTTTTACTAAGAACAAAGGATAAAATGTATGCAAAGGTGCTGACTAGTACCTGATAAGTACTCATTAAAATATAGGGGTTACTTCTTGGTTGATGGGGCTGAATCAGACGCGTCATATTCTGCCCCTGTGTTTTCTTATTCAGTTATTGTTGAATGGTATCTGATGTTTCATTATATTGTGTTAATGGCCGCATTCCTGCAGCATTAATTACATGCCATCTTGTGAACCATTTCAATGGGCAACAGCAGCTTTCCACAATATCCTTTTCTGGGCTAAATGTTTATATCATTCATAGAAATCAAAATTTATGAAAACTTGCACAATAATTAAAATATATGCTACATGATGATGATTATCTGACACCTATATGTCTAGTCTATTTAAGTACTCTGCAAAAGAGGGTCAGCTATTACTGTTGTTTCAGGCTCAGCGCCTATTTAATGATTCCTACTTTTATCTAGGGACAAGTCCTAAATGAGAAACCTGTCAAACAGTCTCACAACTTTGTATCTTCAGAGTGTTTGGGTGAGAATACATGTGTAGCAATATTGATCCACCATTGCTGTGGAGTGGAGGGTGGACTGTGGAACTCAAACCTGATCGTATTGCTAGGGGTGAATTAGTATTTTAACATAAGACACAGTACACATGACTCACTTTTTAGCAAGGGAAATCAAAGCTTGGAGTGATTCAATTATTTCCTGGGATACTAGCTATTCTGCTGGTTTCTGTCTCAAAGTTTACATCCAGTTGCCAAGGGACTGAGACTCATGAGGCTTACCTCTAGTTCCTGACATCTGTTTCTGTCTTCTAAACGGGGAACATGGATTTATCACATTCATAAAACATAATGAACTATAGAGCATACTGTTCTATTTTTCAGAACTCATACTAGAATAAAGATTTGATGCTTCAGCTTTTTATAAATTTTATGGGTCTTTAGTGTTAAGCAAGATTTTAGGGATATCATGTCCAGCTTTTAGCTGCAGTTATGCTGGCAGATGCTTGGGCCTTGGGGTCGGGTTATTTAAAGCTAGATGACCACTGCGAGGAATATTAAAAACACATTGTGTTTTGGCTACAGTTGTAAATTAAGTAACTCCCAATTACCAACCATGCAAATGCACTTACAAAATATGTATTTCATGGGTTAATAATTATCTGGTTTGAGTTAAATGCTGTGTCCTATTATATATGACATTTATTCTAAATCTAGTGTTCTATATTATATATAAACCTAACCTACATATAAATATGTTTATGTCAAAATTTAAAGTTCTGTATCTTTTTTCCAATTATCTTCCTATTTCTTGGAAAACTGGATGATGTTAGAGAAAAAAGTTGTGATTTAAAGCTGCCACACCTGGATTCAAATTCCAACTACATTGCTTTTGTGCCACATAATTTTGAGCAAGTTATTAAAGGGCTGAGCTTTAGAATCCAGGTTCATAAAATCGAATTGATAATATCTACTTCCCAAGGCTGTTGTGAGGATTAAATAAACTCATATGACATTTAATAAGGAGTTCGACAAATGCTACTTCCTATATTCTTCTCTCTAAATCAATCAGAAACCTGAGATTATAAACCTTCTGCTTCAGTATAATCTGGGCACTTTTAAATGGTAAAGAACAAGTTTTTTAAAAGCAAAAGCAAAAAGTGCATGCTACCATTTAAATGATCTGTTACATTATATACTGCGGTCGGTTCCTAATCCTGTGTTGCAGGTGCAGTTTATGGAATGCCTATTGGTAATAAAGTATATGCACCATGTGGCACTTCCACCTTTACAGCACTTTGACAGAGATTATCTCTTATTGTTCTCAGTGCAAAAGTTCAGGGATACAACCAATCAACAGGGAGCGCAACCGATATTCCCAAGACAAACAGTCAATTACGGACTATCTTAGTTCACTCCAGCCTCTATAACAGAATACCATAGACTGGGTGGCTTATAAACAACAGACATTTTTTTCTTGCAGTTGCGGAGGCTGGAAGTCTAAACTCACAGTACTCACAGATCTGGTGTCTGGTGAGCATTCACTTTCAGGTACACTAACAGCCAACTTTCTTCTATATCCTAACGTGGCAGAAAGGGTAAGGGAGCTCTGTGCGGTCTCTTTCATAAGGGTGCTGATTCCATTCCTGAAGACTTTATTTTCATGAACTGGTCACCTTTCAAAGGCCCCACTTTCAAATACCATCATATTGGGGGTTAGGATTTAACATAAGCATTTTTTGAGGAATAGACACAAATATTCAGACCTTTTGAAAGTTAGTCTTGCTTAATATTTTTTGGGGGGTGTTCCTGGGAATTGCAGAGCCAAATGTAATTTTTGCTAGAAAGCAGAGCTTGTTAATTAAATCCTTTCCATTTTTATGAAATACTCATTAGAAAGTAGGGGTCAGAGGCATGCCTTGTGACTAAGATAAATGTTCCTGGCTGGGGAGATACCAGGGTATAAGACCATGCCTACTGTTTTCAGAAAAAAAATAGTTATGAACAAGGAGGGCTCAAAAGAAATGCAGATACTATTAAGATAGCATAATTTTCAAGTAGTTGCCTGATACCCCTACTTTATAAAAAATGAAAACGGGGCCTAGCATCAAACAAGAAATTGTCTGTGTTTGGCACTTAACCTAGACCTTTTAATTCCAGGGGCATAGTAATTTGCTTTGTAATTAAGACTCTATTATGGATGGCATGGTAAAATAAAAAATTTCAAAACAAGAACAAAAGCCAACACTCATTCAGTAAGTCCATCTTTCAACAAATATGTGGGAACTGCCTGTTACGTACTCTGCTAAGGTAGAACAGCTTATTAAAAATCTCTTCTAGGTGATCTCCTTCATAAAGGTCAGATGCATTATCGATCCATGTTGATCACTTACTGGCAAGGTCAATGACTTGAAAAGATCCAGAGTAAATTAGAAACACAAAATCCTGTTAGAAAGTGATTGATAACAAGCAAAATTAAAATTGAAAAAACTTACCATTATTGCTCTTTGTTTCCAATAAATCTTGATCTGTATTAAATCTTTGTGTTTGTTTATATCTTCTGGTAAAGAGTTCAACCATTCAGAGAGATAGACAGAAAGATAGAGAGATAAATACATGCATATACATATTTGATATATAGAAAATTTCATATATATGTAAGTGTATATTATATATATATGTGGATATGTATTCTATATAAAATATTACATAATTTGGAATAAAAACTGAATTTAAACTTTTGACATATCAGTGGAATAAGCCATTCATATGGGCTACACAAATGTAAGTCACTAAATGTTTGGCGATTATGACTAACTAACCTGATATATAGAGAAAATTGGACTGTGAAAGTGTATTTCAAAGACTCGAGGTTCTGCTGCCAGTGGAACGTTGGGAGGGGAGGATCCAGGAGGCTGGACTGGATGTTCATCTCCACAGGCTTCTTTTCAACCTTCTTTTCAGGATTATTCTTTCCTGCCACAAAAGGTAATATTTTATTTGACAGAAGGGTCACTACTCATTAGATGATTTGAAAATGAACATTTTAGGAGATATCCTGAGGAATCAAATCCCGGCGTCAGAAGTGTCACCATAGAAAACTAACGAGTGTTTCCCCAACTTGTATATATGAATAATTACCCTAAATGCGCAAAACCCCAGGCAAGTTTTATTTTAGGAGCCCTTCACATCTCTCCCCTTCTCTTCCTGCCTATTCTATTCTAGACATAGAATATTTCACCAATGTGTCCTTAATTGTCATATGGGTCACCCAAGATGTTATAAAAGTTTGTTTTCTTCTACAAACTACTACAAACCTGTTCTCAGGTCTTAAACTATTTAAGTAATTATATACCTCCTAAATGTACACTGTCAGTGGGCTTAGGCTTTCCACTGTAGTGATCCTTTGCTTCTACAAGTATTTTGGAAAGATATTTTATTTTAGCTTCTTCAGCTCTACCATTCCTCTAGTCTCATACTGATTTTCTGTCTGGCCAGTATATTATATGTATTTTTTGTTGAAATAGCTCTAAGAAAACCACAATTAGATTTGTATGTTTGTCTTTTACATTCCTCTTTACCATCCCTTTGAAACTTCCTCAGTTTTGCTAATTCTATTTGCTCAATGTGGGTATTTTATGCTCTTGGGCTTCCTCTTCTAGAAAAATACATTCTGGCTCCCCAAACTCCATCACATTATCCCAGTCAACATTTTCTGATCTTTCTGGACAATCCCTCACCCACTTTCCCATCCATAATTTCAGTTTTTACACATTTATTTATTTATTCAATGGTTATTAATTATTTGCCTAAAAAGGGTCAAGCCAAGAAAAGAGGATAAAATGATATTCAAACAACCCCAAAACAATACAAAAAATTAAAAAAATGGTCTCTATCCTCAAAAAGATTATAGTGTTGAGTACACTGGTGGAGACTTTCAAGTAAACCGATCATGGCAGTGTGAGAAGTTATTACAGGGGATATCACTGAGGGTGCTGTAGGCATATAGCAGAGACTCTTACACTTGACTCTGGGCATCAAGGAAGACTTCCCCAGTGGGATAAAAAGAAATAGTAAGTGAAAATGATAATTATGATAGGGGAAGAGAAAGAGTGTTTCAGGAAGAATTAATAGTATTTTTGGAGACTTGAGAGGGAGAGAAAACATGCTATTTGAAGGACTGACAGATGTCAGTCATATTTGGAGCTTAGATAGTAAGGAAAAGAATGATAAGACATGGGGAAGTGGTCAGATCCAGGAGAACCACATAAGCTATTTTAAGAGTTTGTATATTGTCTGAACGAATAGAATGGGGGGAGTGCTACTGAAAGATTTTTGGAAAAGAAGTAAAATAATAACTTAGAGTTTTTAAAAGATTTTATTTATTTTTAGAGAGAGGGGAAGGGAGGAAGAAAGAGAGGGAGAGAAACATCAGTGTAAAAAAAATAAGCCACTTAGTGAAAGACAAATACCACATGATCTTACTTTTCACAGGAACCTAAACAACAAAACAATCAAACAAGTGAAATATGACCAAAGACACTGAACTAGAGAACAGACTGACAGTGTCCAGAGTGGAGAGGGGAGGCAATTTTAGGGGAAAGGGGGAACGGTTTACAGGAAGAAGTATAAAAGACACATGGACAAAAACTGGGGTGGGGGGGAATGGGAGGGCTGGGGTGGGCTGGGTGGGTGGGCTGGAAAGACAGAAAACTGTACTTGAACAACAATTTTAAAAATTTTAAAAAGGAATATTGATTGGTTGCCTTTCACATGCACCCCCCCAACTGGGGACTGAACTGGCAGCCCAGGCATGTCACCTGAGCAGGAGTCACACCAGCAACCTCTCTCTTTGCACCAACGGAGCCATACAGTCAGGCCTGATTTAGAATTTTAAAAAGATTACTCTGACTGCAGTGTAGAGGGCTGTTGGTGAGAGCACAACTAGGTGCATATCTGAAGTACACGCTTATACAGTCACACATACACATACCACTCTTTGTAGTATGACAACATACTGGCTTTTACCTGCAAGTCTTTAATCAGTCTGTACACTTGGATCAAGAATAGTTATTATTTATGTCTCTTGTGAGAAGTAGATCAACTACAGAGACTTGCTTTTCCTTTTTTAATTTAATTTAATAATTTAATTTTTATTGTATTTTTCCATTACTATTTAATTCTCTTATACCCTCCTCCCCACTGCAATAACCAGACCATTGTCAATGTCCCTTAGTCCTTTTTTCCTTTTTGTAAAAGGTTTTATTTATTTGTTTTTAGATAGGGTAGGGGAGGGAGAAAGAAAGGGAGAGAAACATCAATGTGTGGTTCCCTCTCAAGTGCGCCCTACTGGGGACCTGGCTTGCAACCCAGGCATGTGCCAACTGGGAATCTAACTGGTGACCCTTTGCTTCACAGGCTGGCACTCAATGCACTGAGCCACACCAGCCAGGGCACTTTTTCTTTTTTGTTGATCCCTCTACCCCCTAACTTCCCTGCCAAGAGCTGTCACATTTCCTAAATAATCAAGCTCTACTGCTTCTACCCTTTCCCTTACTCATACTAACTTTTACTATTGAAAACATGGTTCAGGGAATAGCATAATTAGCATCTATTTTAGAAATGTGTATAGCAATTCCCACCCCAGACCTACTTGATCTGAGTCTGTATTTTAAACAAGTTCCAAGATGATTATATGTACATTAGAGTTTGACAAGCCTGTTCTAGAAATCTGCCTTAGACTCCCCAACCCATAATTTTATCTCTGTGTCAGAGAGAATAATATATATTTATAAGTGAGATTAAGCATAAGCACATGACTAAAGAGTAAAATAACTATTCACTTTATATATTCAAATGAAACTAATGTTCCTACGTATTTCCACAGCAGTGTGGGTCTCAAGGTGGGATGGGGGCCTTGAGAGCCTTAGAATTAGGGGCCTCCACAAATGAAAATTTCCCCCAAATTACCTGTAGCACATTAAGGTACATATTTTATTTCTAAATTTCCATCTGAAGCTAATGTTTTGGCAACACCCACAAATCCTAATCGATTTTACTTGCATAATTTACAAGTCAGTTGGTAAGAGAAGAATGAGTGACAATTACAAACAGGAAGTTTGGGGGTACTGAAATGAGTGGGGAGATTTAGCCCAATCTCTTGTCTATAACTTCTATCCTGGTGTAAAGAAAACAGATTATCAATAATGATGACCTACCTCCAAGGCACTTAAAATTCTCAATCACCAAAAATTATTCAAGAGTATTAAGAGTTCGATAACCACCCGGGGTAGTGGAAATAAACATTGACTTAAAGATGTAGAGATCTGGGTTCTGGTCTTGGTTACATTCCTAATTAGCTGTGACTTCACACATATTATTCTTAACAGTGCCTAAATGTCCTCATCTATAAAATGGAAGCAGTAGGCCAGGCAGTCTCTGAATATTTTAAGATTCCACATGCATTTCATTTATCCGAAAATTGGTAATCCATATGCGCTGCATAATGATGGAAACACTTGGAAAGCCTAATGTCCAATTAACCAGCACACTGCCATTTCCCCGACATCCTGAATTAGAGGTGATGTGCACTACTGCATGCAGGCTGCCTCGCTCAATCAAGTTCCTCTAAGTGGCAATTTTTGCCAAGTCTAACCAGCAGTTCCTTTGACTTGTTGCTGTTTATTTTTATTCCAAGCTAACTAGAAAAATATACCTTTCCTGAAGCTTATACCGAATGCTTTCATCCAAGTCATAAAAATCAGAAAGAAAAGGTGTCTTGGAGTCAAAATCATTGACTCGCTTTACATTTTTACAATATCATCCTTATGTAAGCGCTTGCTGATGTACTTCTTCTTCAACTGTACTCCTAAAAACGAAACATTCAAAATGGTTCAGCTGTCTTGTCCTCCTCTCAATGGAGATCCTAAGGAAGCTCTCCCTTCTCTTTAAAGGCTTATTTTCACTGCTCTCCACCCCCGGGGCTTCATGAAAGGGCCTACACACCACATTGCTATCAAAGTCTTCCTTAATCTTTTTCTTCCTGTCATTGCATTTCTTAATATTTCTTTTTATTTACAATAACCCAACTTTAAGGAGAGCTATGAAGATATAGGCAAAGCTAAATCTATTTTAGAGTTGAAGTCAAGAGATTTAACACTGTGTTACATAAGGAGAAACCCGTTTTGTCTGATTCATTCTCCCAATCTGAGAAAAAAAGGGGGTGGGAGGTTTCTTTCTAGGTCCACTGATCTTCCTACATTCTTCTAGCAACAATAGCAATAGCCATACCAATGTTTATCATCAATGCAAATTTAACCAGGTGCTTCCCAGAAGCCATCTCATTTTACCTTTGTAATTCTTTAAGAGAGTATTTTTATTCTCATAAGATAAGTAAAGAAACTGAGGCCAAAGTGTGTTGTTTACCCACAGTTACCCAGTTGGTGAGTGGCTGAGCAGGAATTTGAATCTGGTTTGTTTTGACTTTAAGTTCTTAGTCTTCCTCCATGTCAGATGTTGCTGCTTCTCTCCTGACATGGATGGGGTTTTGGGATGAAAAGCCTAAATGTAATCCGAGTGTGTATCCATCTAAAAGGAGAATGTCCAGGAAGGAGACTTGGTGTTTATGGTTTAATACGATGTCCTGCATTTCCCTTTTTGGGTCTTTGTCTTCATCTGTTTCCAAATTGTCTATGTACATGTAGGTTTTAGTTGTTGAGTACATTTAGTCACCTCACTCATCTTCTCGGGCAGTATCTCCAAATTTGATGAGCTGAAGTATCTTCTGGGAAACTTGGGGCTGAGTAGCCAATGGTAGAGTCCAATATGTTCACTGTACAAGCATCCCTTTCTACCAGTGGAGAAATGTTATGAAAAACAGATAAATATTCTGCCTCTCTTTCTCTAGAATAAAGAGTGGAAAACAAACCACAGGTGAGCCTTTGCATGTTTTCCTTGCTAAAGTTTGCCCTAAACAA